TGAGATTAAACTTAAATTCAAGTTTATTTTATTTCTTTAAGTTCAAGCTTAAAAGTTTATTTTTGTACAGTTCAAACTTTATTTATTATGATTTCTATTAAGTTCAAAATTTTAAAGATTAAACTTGAAATATATTTTTCGTTTTATTTAATTAAAGTTTAATTAATATAGAACGACAACGATGAAGTTGTCAGTGATCCAGGGAAAATTGCATTACACTATTTTAAGGTAAACAAATTTAATTTTTAATTTAAAAACAATTTTATTTTTAAGGGATGGTTCTTTATTGACGCGTGAGTATTTTCTAATTTTTTGAAAATAATTTTTAAATTATTTTTAATAGGGTAGCAGGTCTGTTTTAGGGGATTTAGGGATTTTTCTACTAATTTTTAACAGCTGTCCCTTTTGACTTGTTATTGGTCGAGACTGATAGTGATGAGGTAATAAACATTTAATTTAAAAAAAATTAATTTTTTTTTCAAAATTTTTATAGACTACAACATTAATTGGCCTTTTAAAAACTGCTCGTCTTTTGCGTTTAGTTCGGGTAAAGACAATTTTTTGAAAAAATTTACTATTAAAAAAATACAAGTTTTGTTTTATTTTGCATTATATTCAGAACTTTAAAAAAATAAACTTGAAATAAACTTTATTTAATTCAAGTTTATTTTAAGATTATAGTACTTTTCGGTTCTGCCACACCCCTCCCATATATTCGCAGGTTATATATTATATTTTTCCTTAACAGGTAAATTTCTCCTTTATTCAATTCACTCAATTTTCCCTGTAGCATGTTTAATGAGAGACACTAATAAAGGAAAGATTATTTTTTACTCGGTTTTCCCTTCAATCAAGTTCCCTTAGAAGGGAAGAAGTCTGACCATTCTGATATAACCTGCGAATATATGGGAGGGGTGTGGCAGAACCGAAAAGTACCAAGATTATTTCCAAGTTTTAAAGTTTATTTTATTTAAACCTTAATTAAATTTTTATAGATTAAATTTTAATATTTTTTAATCATTTAAAAAATTAATTAAGGTAGCCAGAAAGCTTGATAGGTACTCTGAATATGGGGCGGCTGTTCTCTTACTTTTAGTAGGGAAATTAATAAATAAAAAAATTTATTTCGATTTAGATGGCTACATTTGCTTTAATTGCTCATTGGCTAGCTTGTAAATAATTAATTTTTTAATTTATTAATTCAAAATAATTTTTTAAGGTATTTGGTATGCCATTGGCTCTACTGAATTACCACATAAAGTTGGTTAAAAATAAATTAATTAAATTAAATAATAATTAAAATTTATATTTAAAAATTAATTTCAACTACTAAAATATTAAAAAAATATTTTTTGAAAGTCCAAAAAAATTTTTTTAATTTTTAGAATATCACTTGGCTTCATCAACTTTGTAATTTTTAAAAATTCTTCTTAAAAAATTAATTTTTTATTTTAGCCCGACATCTAAATGAGCCTTATCTTAGAACTAAAAATGGTTCAATAACTGCTGGGTAAGTTTTAAAAAAATAAAACTTTAATTTACAATTGTTTGTCAACTTAAAACAGAAAACTTTAAATTAAAGATAAACTTGAATTAATTCAAGTTGGAATTTTAAGTAAATTATAAAACTTGCTTCTTAGAACTTTAATAAAAATAAGCTGAACCTCAAAACTTGATCTAAAAACTTGAAATTTCCTTAAAATTCTTCGGGAGATTTAAAAATAATTTTTTTGTTTTTAAAGAGGTCCTTCATTAAAATCTCGTTATGTCACTTCTCTTTATTTTACTTTATCAACCATCACTTCTATTGGTTTTGGAAATGTTAGTGCCACAACTGATTCAGAAAAAATATTTACAATAATTATGATGATACTTGGCTCGTTAATGTATGCATCTGTTTTTGGAAATGGTTGGGGAATTTGAATTAAAATATAATTAAATATAATTTTTTTAGTTTCTGCAATTATTCAAAGACTTTATAGTGGAACGGCTAGATATCATACAGGTAAGGAAAAAATAAACTTTAAAACAAATCAGAATTAATTTAAAATCAGATTAAACTTAAAATAATTATTTTTAATAAATTTTTAAAAATTCTGATTTTCTGTTTTCCTTCCGGAAAATAATATATATTTTTTCCGGAAAAAATATAAATAAATCTTTCCGGAAATTCTTTCCGGAAATTCTCTGGAAATCTGATTTTCTGTTTCCTTTCCAGAAAACGATATATTTTTCCGGAATTTATAAAATTCTGTCTTTTAAAATTAATTCAGGAATAAATAAAATTAACATTTTCTTTTTTTAGAAATGAGTCGCTTACGCGAATTCATTCGTTTCCATCAAATACCAAACCCACTTAGGCAAAGACTAGAAGAATATTTTCAACATGCCTGGTCCTATACAAACGGGATTGATATGAATACCGTAATTTTTGAATTCTAAATTAATTTTTAAAAATTATTTTTAGGTGCTTAAAGGCTTTCCTGATTGCCTACAAGCAGATATTTGCTTACATTTAAATCGAAATTTGCTCAATAACTGTGCTGCTTTTTCTAAATGCTCACCTGGATGTTTGAGAGCTTTAAGTATGCGGTTTAGAACGACACATGCTCCGCCAGGCGATACTTTAGGTTATTGAATGATTAAAGGGTTAAATAAACTTGGAATATACATGAGTGTAAAATAAACTTGAAATAAATTCTGATTTATTTTATTTTCTTTCCGGAAACAAAATAAATTGTAATTTATAAGGTTCCGGAAAATATTTAAACTTTCCAAAAATAAAATAATAAACCAGAATTTTTAATTCTGATTTTTTGTTTACTGAAAGTTTAAAAAATTCTGATTCATTATTTTCTTTCCGGAAGGTTTAATTGAATATTTTCCGGAAACTTTTAAATTCTCATATATTTCAAACTATATTTAATTAAACTTGAAATAAATTTTTTAAAAATAAACTTTTATACAGTTCATCGTGGTGATATTCTTACCGGTCTATATTTTATTGCACGTGGTTCTGTCGAGATAGTAAAGGATGATTTGGTTGTAAGCATTATTGGTGGGTTATTATTTAATAAAAATTTTAAAAAATTTTATTTAGGTAAAGACGAGGTTTTTGGTGAAAATCCAATGCTTAACGAGGATGTTGGTAAAGCTAGGTGAATTTGAAGATTAAAAATATTTTTTTCAAGATAATTTTTTTAAAGTTGCTCAGTTCGTGCTCTAACTTATTGTGATTTACACAAAATTCTTCGAGATGATCTTTTGGATGTTTTGGAAATGTATCCAGAATTTGCTGAACATTTCTGCAAACATTTATTAATTAATTACAATTTGAGAGACGAAACTTTGTCGAGGAAAAATCATCCTCCAAGATTTTTTCATCCTCCGTTAACTGGAAGACTTTCTTCCTCTTCGTCTATACAAAAACAACAAAATCAGAATCAACATAATCAATTACTGGTAATGCCTATGCAACGCGGGGTTAATCAGAATAACAGAGAAAATCTGTGTGAAGGTGTGGAATATTATTTTTATATTTTCCGGAAAGTTAACGAAAATTCTGATTTTATATTTTCCGGAAATATTTTTATTCTGATTTATATTCTTTCCGGAACGTCTCTTCCCTTCACAAAAATTCTGATTTTATATTTTCCGGAAAGCTTCTTCCCCAATTTATACTTTTCTTCAGGAAAACTTTATTTCTAGTTTTATTCTTTCCGGAAAGTTTTTAATCTATTTTCTATCTACTAATTAAGATTTCCGAGCATATTCGTCCCAATTTCGCCCATTATTTGCGGATGAATTAAGGCCGCAGGTGTCAGTTGAAGCTCCTACACCAACTTCAGCTACAATACCACAAGAACAACAAAATTGTAAAAATTAAATTTTTAATAAAAATATTGGAAATTAAATTTATTTTTATTTCTTATTACTTTTCTTCAGGAAAATCAGAAAAAATATAATTTTCTTTCGGAAAATTAATTCTTTACGGAAATTTACACAGTTAAATTTTCTCTGGGAAATTAAATAACCGAATATTTTTCTTCAGTGATATTTTTTATTATTCTTTTCCGGAAATTAGTCGAAGTATTCTTTCCGCAAAGTTATATTTTTCTGGAAGATAAATATTATTTGCAATATTATCCGAAAATTACTATTTTAATAATTTCTTTCTAGAAAATATACAAAAATATTTTTTTGATTAAATATTTATTTTAATTTCTCAGCTACATCAACCGGTTATGGTTGTGTTCTTCGTTCACTTACCGGAATGGGTTCAAGTTTAAATGGACAACAACAACAAACAGAAGAAAATACTTACCCAAAATCCCCTCCTCCTCCCCCAATTTCTTCAACTTTTGGTCCAAATATAGACCACACATTTCCAGCTGTTGATGCTTCAGAAAATGGAGGAGGGGAAGAAAGAATATTAAATAATAACAATAATTCCTCATTTTTATTAACTTCATTTCACCCTCCCCCACCACCCCCACCCCCACCCCCACCTCTTCCCCCACTTCCTCCTTTAAATTATGGAGAACAACAACAACAGTTATATTTATTTAGACAACAACAAAAAAATGAAGAACGTTTTGATCAACTTAATAGGCGCTTGGAAAATATTGAAACGTAAATTAAAATTTTATTTAATTGGTTTGGGCGCAGTAACAGTTTTGGCGCGCCCGTTAATAAAATAGTCAAATTCAAACCTAAATTTGTGAAATTTTGCACAATTATTCTTAATTTAGTTATCTAAACTTTTTGAAAATTTTAACAATTTTGGTTATTTATTTGTTAAATTATGGGCAGAAATACTGATTTTTAGTCGATTTTTTTGTCATTTTTCAGCCATAACGTTTGTAAAACTTGTCCAGAAATTCTGAAATTTTTAGAAAAGTTAGATAATGAGAGTATGCAAATTCCGCAGATATTTGTTTTCAATGAGTAATTTTAATAAAAAAAATTTTTTTTACTATTTTTCTAGAACATTAGAATCAATGCAAAATAAGCTAAACTTAGACTTGGAAGAATTACTAACATTTTTTCGTCACCACCAACAACAACCGACAGACCAAAAATTACCTTCATCTTCTACTTATTGTTTACCCAAACAAAAATATTCTTCAACATCTTTAAATTTACAAAGAATTTCCCAAAATATTTGTAGAAGTGAATCAACAACACCCGAGGCAGATGAAAGAGGAGAAGAGGAGGAGGAAGATGATGAAGGTGATAGTGGGGTAGTTGGAAGGAGGAAATCAACAAATATTGCAATAAATAAGGTGCTATATTTTGAGTTAGAAAAAAAATTAGAAAAATTTTAGAACAATTCCAGCTCTCAAAGAAAAGAACAAACAATTAGAGAAAGTCCAGAAAGTAATGAGGATGCTCAACAACAACAACTGCCTTGTTCTTCATCATCAAACACCCAACAACAACAACAAAAACAACCATTAAGAAAACAACAAAAAATAAATTTAAAGCCAAATACCTCGGAAAATGAAGATTTTTTATTTTTAAATAATAAAACGGGGAAAGTTGAAGAGGTTAAAAATCAAAAGAAAAAAGAAAATAATCAGAAGAAGAAGAAGAAAGGAGAGGAAGAAGGAGAAGAAAATGAGGAAAATGAAAGAAGTGTTTTGTTAGCATCTCCGGAAAGTTCTGATACTGTTTTATAAATTTAGAAAAAATATTCTTAAAAAGTGCCAATTAAAACATTGCCAATTTTTAATTTTTTTTTGAAAAAGTTATGGCAAAATTTTGAAAATAAAAAAATATTAAAATTATAAAAGGAAAAATATAAGGAATAAAAATTTGAAAATAAAATCAAAATTTAAACTACAAAAAAGACTGCAGTTAATTAGGACACTTGTATGTAAGGAATAAAAACTTAAGTTTAACTTACTAAAATTAAGTTTAAAGAAATAAAACTTGACCTTAAATAAGCTTAAACTAAAGTCTTCTTGTTAAGTTTAAAACCTTAGAAAACTTAAGTTTCACAAACTTAGGATTAAAAATAAAACTTTACCTCAAAGACTTATAAACTTAAGTCTAGCTTGTTAAGTCTAAAACCTTAATAAACTTAAGTTCACAAACTTAAGATTGATCTTTAAAAAAATAAACTTGACAGCAATACTTTTGCCATTTCTTTTTATTTGTTTTGTTGTTTTTATGTGTATTTTATAATAATGTTTCCATAGTATTAATATTAAAAAATAAAGATTTTTATTATTTTTTTAAATAAATTTTTCTTCAAAAAAAATAATTTAAATTTATTTATTTTTAAAAATAAAATATTTTTGAAAACAATTTAAATATTTATTTAATGTCCTGATTATTCATAAAATGGATATTTTGGGGCATAACGATTTTTGCCAAAATGAAATTTTCGTTCCTTGTCGTCAGATATTGGTACTGGTCCAAGGTAGAATTCCCTGAAAATTTTGATTTAGTAATTTTCTTAACACACATTAAGCTTAAAAAAATCTGTCTTATAATGAATTTTATAGTGAAGTGTAGACTATTAAATATATGTATTTTACATATGATTAGGTCTGTCTGTACAAGATAACCAACCCTATACTAAAATCGTGAGAATCGAGATTCCCGACCTAGAAAACATAGGAATTCCTATTTTTCGGAACTCGTAATGGCAAGATATCACTGAATGTTAGATAACATCTCAATTTAATATTTTATTTTGCTAAAAGGTAGTATTTAATTATCTTAAACGATTAAGATAATCTACTTTAAGACAACTTAAAGAGAGCATCTTATAATTAGGTCAAACAAAAAATTTCCTCTCACTTGTAATAAGGACTAGCCAATGCCGGATAAAGCTCGCTCAAAACAGAAGAGGGCATTCTAACCCTCTTTTTGGCAACTTCTTTTCTCAATTGTTCAGTTTCTGGGTCCATCCTGTCCTCCTCATCATTTTCTACATTTTCTTCGTTTTTCCCATTTTTTCCCAAAATTTTTCCAGTTTCGTCAGTTACAGTTACTTGCACTAAATCTTTATTTTGTTGTTGAATAATTCCATTATTATTATTTTTTGTATTTTTTAATATTCCAGGCAAAATTGGAATTGTTCCAATAACAATAGGCAAAGAAATGGTGAATTTGGGGGAATTGTTGAACTTTAAAATTAAAAAAAATATTATGTATTTTTTAAATTAAAATTGGATCTCACGGGGTTAAAAAAGTCCTATAAATGGTTATATATTCACACAAAAATCGCGGGCATCTTGCGACAGAAAAGGTAATGAAAGGAGGAAAGAAAGGTTTTGACGATATTGTCCTTTTTTTTAAACCTTATTTTCTATGACTATCGGATAGTTGGAAATTATCGGATATCCGGATCCAACAACTTAATGGCAAGACGCAAGGCGTTATTATGAGAAAAAGTTTTCCAACCCAGTGGCCAACAAAAATTCAGAAATTGTATATTATTAAATTGAGGTCCGTTTAAAATAGACAGTGAGGTCCGGTTGTATATTTTAATGTGTACTATATAATTTTTGTAAATTTCCGAAAATAGTTTGCCTAATTTAACTTAAAATTGTCCTTAAATTTTTCCCCCATTTTAAAAATCTTTTTTTTTAATAATTTTTTTTTAAAAATTAATTTACTTGCAATTCCAAACAATAAGAAACATCAATTAATTTACATTTAGTCACCATACGTGGGGGAATTGAAGGCACTAAAATAGGTTTGTCTTGCCAGTGGAATTCTGTACCTCTACGAATTTTATCGCTGACAGTTACTTTTTGGACTATATGCCGAGTTTGTTTAAAAGATTCTGAGCCGTCAAATGTTTTTGATCTAAAAATAAACAAAAATAAATTCAGATAAAATTTAACTAAAAAATACCTGTAATTAACAATCTGGCAAAGGCAAATAGCCACATTCCTTACACTTCTTCTACTTCCATTCTTTATATTTAAACTAACACGAATAGCTTCCCCAGGCGTGTAGCCACCTTTAGCCACCCGAAGCTCTGTTTGAATAGTGCCTAATTTCATGCAGAAGAGAGACACTGGTTGTGTGGAACGAGTTTCCAAAGGAAGGGAAAGCACCGAAAAAAGGGGAGAATTTAAAAGAATATTTTCTAAATTCCAACTTCAGCCTCGTAATTGAGATCTTCAATGCCTATCACGGTAAAAGCTCGAAAACAGACAATATCAAAGTCCCACGGCCGTTCACATATTGCTCTACAAGTGTAACGAACAAAGCCGTAATCGCCCTCGAAAGAACTTGGCAAGTGCTTTGGTAAAGTGTAAGAGAAAGGAATTTGATGGACGCCGGGAGGGAGCGTTCTTCCCTTAAATAAATTAATGTAAATAAATTAAAACTTGAAAGTATAAATTTACTTTCCGGAAAAGTAATTTTAAGAAGATCCATTAAGGATTTCCATTAAAGATTCTTTGCTGAAAAGCTTGGGGAAATACTATTTTATATTTTACTAGGTAAATCGTTCCGGAAAAAATTTTCCGGAAAATATATTTTCCTGAGTAATTATAGCTAAAATTTCCGGAATAATAATTTCCGGAAAACTAACTAATTATATTTTCCGGAAAACTTATAATTATTATTTCCGGAATAATTACCTACCAATTTCTTTGGGTCACTTTTAACGCTAGAAGAGGAAGTCTTTGCCGTTGGCCTTTGCTGCAAATCATTTAATTGTTTATTATCTTCACAAACTGAAATCTTTTTCAACTCATCCCCATAATTTTTAGGTAATTTGTGTGTATATGTTGTATTAAATTGTTCGCAAAAATAAGCTTCATTTGCCGAACAAGTTTTTCTAGATTGTGTCCAATAAGACCTAGCACGTCCTTTTACCTCCAAAAGTACTTCATTTAGTTGTTTTGGCTCGCTGCATTCAATTACTACCTTTTTTGATAAATATAAAATTATTTATTTTTAAATTTATATTTTATTTATATTTTGTTACTTTTCTGGATAAATCATAAATTTTAAATTAAATGAGTATATTTTTAATTTCTAAAAATAAATAGCCTTATAATTTTTCCAGAAAGAATCTATTTAAATATTCCTTTTAATAATTTTTCCGGAAGGTTCTTAAATATACCGTATTTCCTCAAATAGTACGGCCCCCTCAATTAGTACGGCCCCCTCAAATAGTACGGCCCTTTGAAAGAGGGTTGAAAAATAGTACGGCCCCCTCAATTAGTACGGCCCCTCAAATAGTACGGCCCCCATTTAAAAATATAAAAAATATTACAAAATTTGCTTTTCGAATTATAGTAACAATCCTCATCTTTACAATTAAATATTTGACCATTTAATCCTCTCATATCCCTCCATTTGTCAATAAAATACTCTTAATCTCTCATAATCTCCACAAATCCTTGGGTTAATAAGCATTGACCCTTGCCTAAAAATAGACCCAAAAAAGAAATCCATCTGATTTAAATCTACTGAGTACAGTGGCCATCTCTGGGTCCTACATCTCTGGATCCTAACTGGGTCAACCATACAAAAAAGTGACTCTATTGGAGTTTTCTATAATCCGGTCATGTTTTGACCTTTTTAAGATTTATTTATACTTTCCCACTAGAAATCCCCCATAATCAGCATATATCCCTCATAATTCCTATAAATATCGAATACCCCAGATATCCCTAATATTTGTCCAAATCCTTGGATATTTCAAATATCCAATCAAATCTTCGGATATCCATTCAAATCATTCTTGATTCACCTAAATTTCTCTTAATCCATATCAGTGTTTTGGAAGGATATCTAGAGAATTTGATGGATTAAGCAGGATTAGAAGAAATATCCGAGGATTTGGATGGATCTCAGGGAAATTCCGCGATATCTTTCCTAAATCTCATCAAATCCATTGATAACTCATAACAAATAAGTGCATGAGCCTGGATTTTTGGGATATTTTGGTATAGAAATAGAGAACGGAAGAAGATAAAAGACGGTTAAATTTAACCGAATTGCAAAGATTACAAATATAAAACTGAGATAAGGCTTGCTGGAGATCTTAGATAATTTCGAAGGATGGTTGAAATATAGTACGGCCCCCTCAATTAGTACGGCCCCCTCAAATAGTACGGCCCTTTGGAAGAGGGTTGAAAAATAGTACGGCCGGCCGTACTATTTGAGGAAATACGGTAATTATATTTTTTAATATATTTTCCGGAAAGAAAATACAGTCGTCGACATAAAGATAGGGACAAGAGTAATTTAAATATAAATTAACTATTTTTCAGTCAAAAAATACGTTCTATATATCAATCGAAAGCTCTATTCGTATCTCAGTTGACATGTTTCTGCATTTTTCATGAGATTGAAAATTGGCCGAGATAATCCGGATCTGCCGGATATACCAAATCCCATAGCCTCGGGAAAAATTTTCGGAAAAAATCTAACAAACCCATTTGATAGAGCATATTTTTCTGAGTATTTCCCACAAAACCGCTTAGAAATATCTTTTTCCGGGCTAGAGATATGATTTTTTGAAAATGACATTTTTCGCCTATTTTTGCAAAAAATTGAATTTTTAAGCGAAAAATGCCATTTTCAAAAAATCATATCTCCGTTCCGGAAAAAGATATTTCTAAGCGGTTTTGTGGGAAATACTCAGAAAAATATGCTCTATGAAATGGGTTTGTTAGATTTTTTCCGAAAATTTTTTCCGAGGCTATGGGATTTGGTATATCCGGCAGATCCGGATTATCTCGGCCAATTTTCAATCTCATGAAAAATGCAGAAACATGTCAACTGAGATACGAATAGAGCTTTCGATTGATATATAGAACGTATTTTTTGACTGAAAAATAGTTAATTTATATTTAAATTACTCTTGTCCCTATCTTTATGTCGACTACTGTATATTCCATAATTCTTGTATTTTCCGGAAAAGTAATACTATTTTTATAAACTATCAGGAAATAATATATTTTTCCGGAACAATCTATTCTTATAAACATTTTTGTATATTTTCCGGAAGTTTTATTTTTAAAAATTAACCTTTCCAGTAATTTCTTGCCCAGCAAAATACACTTCCTCTATATTATCTAAAAGAATTTCAAATCTATCTAATAATTTTGCTGTTCCAACAACACTACTTTCTCTTCCTTTGGTTAAGCTAATACTTCTTTTACCTCCAATACTCATTGGGGGAGGTTATTTATTTTTTTAATAATTTATTTATTTTCCCGTAAGAAAAAATTAAAGGATTATATAAATTAGTCGATTTTTTAATAATTTTTCGTTTTTAATAAATTTCTAAGAAAAAAATTTTAATTGAATAAATTAATTAAAATAATAAAAATAGGCTTGTATTTAAATTATTCGCGATAATAAAATATTTCTTTAATTTCGAAAAAAATTATTAGTCAGATAAATTACCTAGTACATATTTATTTTCCCGAAAGATTGTTTAGGCTAATATCTTTCAGGAACAAATTTAATAATTTTATTTCCGGAAAAAATGTATAATATTGTAAACTAAACTTTAAATTTATTCCGGAAATAGTTTATTTTCCGGAAAATGAGGAAACCCCTAAAACTTTTCTGTAAGTCATAATTATACATATTTTTATACAATTTTTTAAGTTCAAGCTTAAATATAAATAATTTTATATTTGAGGATATTCTAGAAAATATTTAAATATAATCAGAAATATCGCAATTTAACCAAAAAAATTTAAATAAAAAATCCCTAAAAAAGTTAAAAATCCAAATTTATGTAAATCTATATAAAAAAATTTTGGGGGGAAATTAAGAAAAATAAAAAAAAAGTCAATAAAATTATGTAAAGTTTTATTAAGTGAAAAAGGGAAGGGGGAGGGGGATTGAGAGAGGTTAATCGAGTACATAAAAAATTTTTTTTTCCAAACCACTTTTACTTCTTCAATTTTTTTATTTGACAGATTCTTCATTATATATTTTAAGGTAAAGAACGAAGAATGAAGGAAAGAAAATTTTTAAGAATTTTTTAAGATTTTAAAGGAAAGGAAAGTTAAAAAGGAAGGGAAGTTAAGAAGGTTTTTAAAAAAAGTTTTTGGCCATTTTTTGTTGACGGGACAAGAAGAAGAAGAAGAAAATGTTTGAGAGGACAAAAGAAAAGATTTTATATGTCTGCTTTCGACAATTGGCAAAAAAAAAGAAAATGAAGGGAGGGGGAGGATAAAGGGGAAGGGGAAGGGAGGCGGCAAACAGTGTAAATATTTTTTCTTCTTTTATTGAGGGAAATAAGCTAAAAAATATTAAAGAGAAGAAAAATATATAAAGTATTTAGTCAAAAACGTTTTTATAATTTATTTGGGGTTAAACTAGCAATTTATTTTTTTTTACTAAAATGAAAGAGATAATTGTTAAAATAATTTTTGGTTGTGACATAAATAGAAACTTGAAACCAATGGATAGTGAAAAAAATAATTTTTGAGAGGAATATTTTGGAGGGTATATTTGGTACAATATTAATAAAATAATTCTCATATTTAAAAAATAAAAATAATTATTTCAGAATATTTTGGAAAGTTATTAGAGTTATTTTATTAAAATTGAACTTCTCTTTCAGAAAGATATAAAATTATACTATGTTTATTTATGGAAAGTTTATAATTTATTAGTATAGTAAAAGTATAATTATAATTAATATAGAATTTTCCGGAAAAGTTATTATTAATTATAAATTATTTCCGGAAAGTTCTAACTATAATAAATAAAATTTTCCGGAAAGTGTGTTTATATTTATTCCGGAAAACTTATATTTTAGAGGAAGTATACCTCCTCAAAAATGAATTTCCCGGAAAATGAACATTCCGGAGTTTACAAAATTTAATTTTTAATAAATAAAATTAATAAATATTAAAACTAAAAAAATAAATATTTAATAAAAATAAAATGTTAATTTAAAAAAATATTTTAATTTGTTGTTGCGATATTTAAAAAATATTATGATATTTAACTAAAAATTTAGGAGGAGGTTAACTACAAAAATAAAATATATAACACATAAAAATGCCTTCTCTAAAATAATATTCTTTCAATTCTCTAAATATTTTTTTTGTTTTTGTTAGCACATCGCCCTTTTCGAAACCTTTCATCCAACAAATTTATTAGGGGATTTACATATTATTATGTGTTTATTTATATTTTTAAATGAAGAAAAAGAGAAAATGTTATAGAAAAATTCAATACGGAAATTATTTAACTATAAAATGATATCAGAATATTTTAAATCAGAAAAAATAAATAAATTCCATTTTCCGGAATGTTTTTAATTATTTAGAGTTATTCCAGAGTTATAACTATTCCGGAAATAACATTCCGGAAAAATAGCTATCACCTTTTATTCAATACAATTTATCAGAATTTTCCGGAATGTTTATAATTTCAGGAAAAGTTATTCCGGAAAGTTTCATAGTTATCCTTGTTTTGCTTATTTTATTTATTTTAAAGTTCATTTTTAAAAATACCAAACAAAATGAGAGAGAAAAAGCCGCCAACTTGATATATTGAATATCCCCTCTTTTACTCAATACAATTTGCGTGCCTTTAAGCAATCAATCTACTCTGTTTTTTAAAACAATAAAAAATGTTAACACGCAATTTTGAATTATTTTTAAAATAATTTTTTCTGGAATTTTTGGAAACATTAATCATTTTAGAAGCTAATTATGGAATATTAAGGAGTTGTTCAGGAGATTTAGGAGTTGAATTCAGTCAATACTAACTGGTCATTCAAACTTTAATAGGCCATACCCATCTTCCTAAAACTACAATAATTCGATACAACTTGACAACCCATGTCAAAAATTCCGGAAAACCTATAATTTCCGGAATTTTTATTAGGTATCATAAATATTACTCAAATAATTACACTAACAATAATTACCTCACCCCCCCCCCCCTACGTAATTGATCAAAAACTTTTGTTTTTTATTTTTAAATATTTATCTCTAATTTAAATTTAAAAAAACAAAAATTGTTTTCCAAATAAATTAATAAATAAAAACTTTAAAAGTCGACAAAAATTTTTCTTAAAATTAAAAACTACTACATACAAGCCTTTTTTCTCTATTAATTTATTTTTATTTTAAGCAGAACCACTAACTCCTCCCTCTCCTCCAAAATAATTTTCTTTAGTCAAAGACTGACAATTTTCACAATCACAAAAAGAACATCCATAATTAATATTTTCCTCATTAAACTCAAAATTTATAATATTAGCATATTCACAATCAAGCACTACACGCCAATAAAGGTTTTCATCTTTTTTGACAATTGATTCGTTTAAAGCTACAGAAGCACGATAAAAATTGACTGAAAAAATAAAAAAAATTTTCTAAGTAAATTAAAAATAGAAAATTTGTCGTTTGTAATGGAAAGTGTATTTCCTATACAAACTGGCACAAGGACATATCGGGACGGACATATCGGGATATTTCAATGTACAAACAGTTACCCTACTGGTTTCGGGACCTACGGCCACTGGGTGTTGGATATTACATTGTCTATTGAGGAATAGAGTTTTTATGTTTTAGAAGAAACGTAAACACGCAATTGTAACCCAATCCTGATATGTCCGCACACCCAAACTAATTATGACAATCTAGAAATAAATATACTTTTGTCCTTAATATATCCTATCCCGAAAGAAATTTTTTCTTAATTTTCAAAAAATAATTATTTTCTTACAATTTTCACTCTCTTTACAAACAAGCTCAAAAACTGCTGGAAATCTATTGCAAATTGAAAGAAGACATCGACCATCCGGCGGGGATTCAACATTTGATGGAACCATTAATTTCTAAAAAAAAATTTTTTTTAATTTAAAATTATTATTTTTCAATCACCATTTCATTAAGCAAAAGTTCAACAGTAGCACTATATTGCAAATGCTTACGGCGAATTAAAAAGCGAAATAGATTTGAGCCTTTAAAAATTTTTTTAAATTTAATTTTAAAAATCCAAAATTTTTCTCACATAAATTTTGACGAAGACAAAGCAGCCGAACTTTACAAACAGGTTCAGCAACAGAAAGCATTCCTTTCTCATCAAATTTTAAAAGATCACCAGATTGAAGAAGCAATACAGCACTTGGTATTGTATTGTTAAAATAATGATTATTTTCGCTTTGACGAGCAGATTTCATAAGCTGGAAAAAGAATTATAAATAGAATTAAATATATAAATATTTCCAGAAATATAACTTTTCCGGAATGTATAAAGATATTAATTAAAGTAATACCAACCGGAAAATATATAGTTTCCGGAAAAATATAAATATAAAATAGAACTTTCCGGAATATGTAAAAGACCCTAAGAGATTTAAAATAATTTCCGGAAAATATAAACTTTCAGGGGTTTTGAGAAACAATAAAATTTCTTAAATTCCGCAAACGTTTCAAAAATATTTTTAATTTTTAAAACAATTCCTTACCATTTCAAAATCACAATATTGCTTAACATCACACCCTTTAGGGTATTGAAATGCTAGACGTTGCAAATAGAACAATACACAGCCCAAATCAACACCAAATTTGCTATCATATGCTAATTCTAATGGTTTATCAGCTTGAGATAAAAACTTCAAACTTGAAAAAAAAATAAATTTAAGGAAAAATTTTATTTTAAATTTTTGTTTAAAATTTTTTTCAATTTTCCAAAAAAATTTTTAATCCTTACAATTCCTGTGTGTGCCGTTTACGTATTGAAAGAATTTTGGAATAATTTTGTATTCGCCCATCAGTAGAAAGCTCAAAAGCTGGAACTCGTCGATCATGAAATGTATCCTCTGATGTATCAACAATTTTTGATTTTTGAGAAGGGGGCTCCTAAAAGTAAAAATTTTTTTGTAAATTTACTTTAAATTAAATATACACTCAAACTTCAGTATAAGGTTTGAAAATATTCAATTTTTATATCTACTGTGTGGAATGCAAGGAAGAGACGGGTTGAGGAAAAGTTCGGGGGTAGGGTGATTTGACCCATCCCTAGTAACTGACTAAAAGATAATCCCAATTTAAGATAATATTTTCCGCCCAAAAAAAGGAGATATCTAAAACTGAAGGGTTGATTGTATTAAATTTAAAAAATTACAAAAACAGTAGAGCTAATCCCGCATTCATTAAAATTATTAATATCCTTCTTTTCATCATTCTCAAGTTGTTCAACATCAATAGTCTCAGGGATTTTATTCGTATTGCTTGTAGTAACCAAAGGAGTAGATTTAACCTTAAAAGTACTTTTTAATTAATTCAAAACTTTTCTAAAATGTTAATTCTCCCGAAAAATATTATTTTTAAATAATAAATTATTTCCAAAAAAATTTTAATTTTCCCTGGTAACTTTTTAAAAACCTTAATTTCCTCTTCTTCTTGCTCCAAATCATCCCAAATTGTAGTTGATTGATTTACTATATGAGGAATTGTAACATCATTTTGAACCTCTGGAGTTTGCGGAAGTCCAATATCATTATTAGTTGTCTTTAAAAAATAAAAATAATTTATTTAAAAATTCATTTCCAAAGGATAAAATTCTAAACATTTTCCCATTAATTTTCCCTTTCCCCTGTATGGAAAAATAGTGAACAAAATGAAAGGGGAAATTTTCCAAGGGGGAAAATTTGGCGCAGAAAACCCCCTACCCACTGGCTACGGGCCTGGCCATCTGACTTGGCCAATCAAATTTAAAAAATAAAACAACTGCGTGTACAGTCAAATGAGGCCCGCTTATTTATTTTTAAAAATATTTAAAAAAAACCTTTTCATTCCTCTCTTCTTCACAATCATTCATCATCCCCAAATCCTCTTCAAAAATATTTCCACCATTCTCCACAACATTTTCATTGTCAATATTTTCTTCAACAAAATTATTATTTTCATTGTTAATTTCAAAAGCTGAAAGTCCTCTAAGTTGTTCTTCATCCATTGGAAGTTCATCTAAACGAGGCAATCCACCCAAATTATTTCCACCTCTATTTAAATTCGTTTGTAGTTGTTGAATATTTGAATTATTATCATCAATTAAAGTCCCAATTGAACTATTACTTATTGAAGCAGAAGCTGATGATACTTGGCTATTTGGCTGTTGTAAAATATTTTCTTGAAAATTGGGTGGAATACCCGTAATTCCACCACCACGCCCTCCAAATGAAGAATTCATTCGATGTTGAGAAAACTTTAAAAACAAATTTGTATTAAATTAAATGAGCTATTAATTGGAATTTAAAAATTCAAAAAATATCCAAAGGTGTTAGGAAAGGATGTAGTCAAAATAGAACAAAACATCTTGTACCTATCCAAAAGTCTATTAAAAATTTTTTCTAGAAGATCCCCTTATATAAAACTAAAATTCTGACTTTCAAAACTAGAAAGAAAATAAAATGTGAGAAACACGTCAAACTCTTGTGGAAAAATTTTAAAACTCTGAGAGGAAAATTTTTTTTAGAATATTTACGTTCATCGGACACAATTTTCAGTCCTTTCATAGTAGAAAAAACAAGAACTTCGTGGCACTTTTTGCCCTTATTGTAAACGAAAAAGGGAATACCGGAATTAAAAAGAAAATGGAAGTCCGCAAACACAGATATTACCAAAAAATGTTAAAACTATAAAAAACCTGTTGATGTTGAATTGGTGGCGATGGAATTGAATTATTAATAGTAAATTGTTCAAAACCAGGAGGTGGTTGAGAATATAAAGGCGGAGGCTGTCCCATTTGTGGTGGATGTGGAAAAAACCCTGGAGGACAAAACATTGGCGGAGGAGGCCCGTAAGGTTGAAAATGATGAATAGAAGATGAAGGAGTTGTGGCTGAGGAACCACCGCCAATCCCTCCATAAAGTGAAGTATTTGAAGGGGAAGTGGACGTTGAGAGTGACTAAAAAATTAAAGAAAATTATTTTTTGAAATAAATACTCGTTGCTGCATAACATTTTTTTCGTGAATCTTTTGTCGACAAATATCAGCCAATTTAGATAACTTGAGTAATTCAGCCTCATCCAACAAATCTTCAAAAAAATAAAAGTTAAAATCTCTCTTATACATACAAACGTGAAAAGACATAAGGGTAATTATGAATTTCGTCCCCCTTTGTCCTACACCAAAAAAGTAAATAATGGTCAGGTTTTCTTCCTTCCTCAATTTTAGTATATTTTCCCGTAGCTTATTTAAATAGGACACAAATTAAAAGTACCCAAGTATTTACAAAAATAATAAAAAAAAACCTTCCCAAGAATGACCAGCTTTAACTCCATTAATTTTTCCAATTCGCAAATATTTAAGAATATATTCAAAATAATCTGGATTAGCGTCCAATTGCCAACGGCCATTGCCTGAGTCTGGATTCTTAAAAAATTTTGAAGAGAAAAAATTTAATTTTAATTAAAATGGCTGAAGACACTTTCCCTTACTGGCATCTTATTGCCTTTAAAAAAACTAACGAAAATTTTTGTTTGATTGATCAAAAGAAAAGTATTAAAAGCCAGCAAAACTCCAAATATTATTTCAAAAACCCTCCATCCCTAAGTACAGCTTAAATTTCGAAAAAAAAATAAAAACAAACATAAGATATTAAACCGCCACTATCAGTAAATAATTGATCCGGATCAACATCTTCCTCAACGATTTTAGCCAAGTACGAAGTTGGATCTCTAGCTAATGAAATTTTTGATGCACGAAACTCCTATAAAATATACATAATAAACATTTAAAAAAATCATTCGTGGCTAACAAATATAAGACCGCAAATTTAGTTCGCAAATATTAAAATCAAATTCAGGTAACCACTACATCCAGAGAGCCTAAAGTCCTCCCAACAATAACCCGCTCATTGTCAGAATTACCAGTAACAAGATCGGTTGAGAAAAAAAGGACGTCTTGGACTAAATGAGGCTTCAACCTCTCTACATCGGCCCAATCAATCCCAACTAACACAAAAACATTTTTATTTAAAGACATACTATATACAAATAGCACTTGTAATTACAGACATACTTCACACCCCAATAATGAAAAAACAATTTAGAATTAAAAAAAAAACCTTTCCAAGAATATCCAAAACCACCCAACCTCCAGTATATGCTGAGCTAGCCAATGAAACATTGCTGCAACTCTTACGCATTGGACCACCAACATCTGAGTCAAAACTTAGATTACCATTATTATTTGATAAATTCATATTCTCTTTTAAAAAATAAAAGTTAAAATTAAAAAAGGAATTAAAAAAATAAAGTCCCCAAATTTTAATCCGCAAAATCACTATCCGAAATAATCCCTTATATAAAGGCTTATATCGATTTACATAAGAGAATGCTTTTTTAAAAAATGAAAAATAAAGAGAAAATTTTAACCAAAACTGTCATTGATTTATCCCAAAACTTATGCTTGGAAATAATTACAGAAAATTATTTAAATGAAGAAAATGGCGCGCAAATTTTAAAAAATCAATTTTTTTATTAAAAAAATATTTTTTTTGATTAAAACAAAAATAAATTTTAAAAAATTTAAAGCAAATTTAAAAAAGAAAAATTATCAATATTTATCAACATTTTATTTTTACTTCATAGCTAAATAAAATTTTTAAAAATATTTTAAGTCAGAGAAAAATCTCTCATTTTTCCATTATCTTTTTTCTTTAAATTTTATTTAGCTATAAAATTAATTTTTTGTCGCAAATTTTTTTTTCGAAAATTATGTATGACAATATGATGCACATTAATTAAATATTATTAGGAAATAAAAAAGCAAAAAGGAAAGAATATATTTAAGAAATAACAAAAAACAAAAAAAGGCTTTGGATGAGCTTAAAATTGTGTGTATTTGAAATGTTTTTAGTAGTAAAAATGGAATTAGAATTTAAATTAATTAAAATTATAGAAGACTCATTAAAATTAAATATATTTCTCTCTGTAGTTTTTGCAGACAAAATTTTTTTATTTAAAAAATTTTTGAAAAAAAGCAGAAAATATTTTTGTCCGCAAGTTTTGTCCGCAAAAATTTAAAAGTGAAAAAACTTTTTTAGAGAACTTTCCTGCTTATTTTGATTCCCAGAAAACTCAAAAAACAGGATTTAGAGATTCTACAATAAATATCTTGCCCGGAAAAATATTAGAGAATATTCATAAAAATACTCAACTTTTACGGCTCAATTTTAAGCCTCTAAACCAGGGCTCCGATGGACAAAATGCCAATCAAAAGTACACTCAAAATTAATATTTATTCGTGCTCAAATGTTTTATATTTCTCTCCTAAATGAATCTTTTCTAATAATTTCTTGTTTCTACTGAGCATTTTGTGCATTTCAATGAACGTTTTTGTGGCGCCAAAGGCGCACACACTTTTAAAAAAGTACGAATGCGAGCCCTGAACTAATCATATCGCAAAATTCAAAATCTTTACATCATCTGAAAAATTATTTTATTATTCCAGGTTTTACTCTTTTGTATTGCAAAGTTTTTATTTTTTATAATCTTCGCTTTTGTAATTTAGGGTTTTGTAATCCCTTATTCAATTTTACAATTGTAATTCAAGTTTATTTTTAAAGTTCATTCTATCTCTTACCAATCAAGTTAGTCATAAACACCTCGCATTCATGCAAAACTTGATATTTATGTGCAATAGCAAAAATATCCTCAACATGCTTTCCCAACAAATTTTTGTTTATTTCGCCAGTATAGAAAAATTCCAACATTGCATGAACAGGTTCTGGTTTGAAGTCAGGAATTGTGACTTCTCTCTAAAATTTTTAAGACAATTTTTCGAATTTTTTAACTCCCTAAATCTCGAAAATCAACAACCTTTCCACTTTTTAAAAATAAAACACACAGTCACTCCCTCAATCATATCCGTCTGCTCAAACATTTTTCGGAATACTTTGCTGTTCTTTGCTAAAATGCATCGATGTGTTTTTATAGCCATATCCGCAACCTGGAAAAATAAAAATAGTATTTTTTAGACTATTTCAGAATGATTGAGGGAGTAACTATTTCAGAAATAGCCAAAAAAAAATACAATATTTTTATTTTTCTAGGTTGCGGCATTTAGCAAAGAACAGCAAAGTATTCCGAAAAATGTTTGAGCAGACGGATATGATTGAGGGAGTGACTGTGTGTTTTATTTTTAAAAAGTGGAAAGGTTGTTGATTTTCGAGATTTAGGGAGTTAAAAAATTCGAAAAATTGTCTTAAAAATTTTAGAGAGAAGTCACAATTCCTGACTTCAAACCAGAACCTGTTCATGCAATGTTGGAATTTTTCTATACTGGCGAAATAAACAAAAATTTGTTGGGAAAGCATGTTGAGGATATTTTTGCTATTGCACATAAATATCAAGTTTTGCATGAATGCGAGGTGTTTATGACTAACTTGATTGGTAAGAGATAGAATGAACTTTAAAAATAAACTTGAATTACAATTGTAAAATTGAATAAGGGATTACAAAACCCTAAATTACAAAAGCGAAGATTATAAAAAATAAAAACTTTGCAATACAAAAGAGTAAAACCTGGAATAATAAAATAATTTTTCAGATGATGTAAAGATTTTGAAATATTGCGATATGATTAGTTCAGGACTCGCATTCGTACTTTTTTTAAAAGTGTGTGCGCCTTTGTCGCCACAAAAAAGTGCATTGAAATGCACAAAATGCTCAGTGGAAACAAGAAATTATTAGAAAAGATTAATTTAGGAGAGAAATATAAAACATTTGAGCACGAATAAATATTAATTTTGAGTGTACTTTTTATTTGCAAATTTAGTCCCTATCTACTTTTTAATCAAGATTTTGATTGGCATTTTGTCGATGCGAGCCCTGGTTTATACATATAACGCGCCTACTCTTGAGAAGGTAGCTTTTTCAGATTTAGTATTCTGCTAAATCTGAAAATTCTGCGCCTAATTTTTGGCACCGAAGGCGCCAAAAATTTTGATTTCCTGCGCCGCAGGCGAAAATTTTTTAAAATTTGGAGCCCAAGAAGCTAGATTTCTTCCTTTTTCAGCGCCGCAGGCGAAAATTTTGAGAATTTCAAAGGCCGTAGTAGGCCAAAAAATTCATTTTTTTGCCCAATGTCTTCCCCAATTTCATTTTCAATCCAAAATGTTAATTTAAAAGTAAAATACTTTTAAAAAAAAGTACGAATCGGAACCCTGTTCTAAAGTGACCAAAAAATAACAAAAAAATTTCAATAAGTCTTCCATTAATTACAAAGAGTGGTTGGAAATGAATTTAGAGAAGGGAATTAGTCGAAGAAATAAACAATTATAAAAAAGGCAATTCCACTTTAGAAAAAAATCAAAAAAAATTTTTGATGACAAAATGTCCCCTTTGACTAATTTTTAAGAATTTCAAATCTTTTCCTTTCTACAACCTTTTTTTACAAATTTAAAGAACCATACATCCCTTCCATGAACGCTTTGCACGCTTCTTTCCATCGGTTTGATCAATTGGGTGTGCCCCATCAGCAGTAAGTGTTCCTTGCTTTTTACGTTTTAATTCTCTCATCAAGTCGTAGAAAACCTTTAAAAACAGGAAGTTATGCTAAAACTCAAACTAAAAATTAAGGTTGTTATGACCCAGACTTGATCATTTCGATCAGAAATAAAAGTCACTGGTTAAGACCAATCCACTGCCTGGATAATTAACACATTCATAATTGTCAAATCTATCCAATTTTGGTATAAGGTCTCAGTCTTAGACTCACCGCGTCTCAGCGCGCTAATTTAGTTGGTAGGAAAATCGAGTAGATTTGACAATTAAAAAAAGACAATACAGAGGAATGGATTGGTGAAAATGAATTGGCGAAAATCCACGGTTATTTTCAAAACAGGATATCCATATTCACCAACTCTAATCAGGAAATACCCATTAAAATCATTTTAAAATCCAAACATTGCCTATCAATCAAAAAATATTTTAAAAACCTTATCAACATTAGAACGTGTTTTTGCCGAAGTTTCAACATAAGGACAACTCCAAAGTTCTGCGCGTTGTTGAGCCAATTCAATAGGCACACGTCTTTCTGTATCGCCCAAATCTGATTTATTTCCAACTAAAACAATGGGAATTGTTGTGTCGAAGTTTTTGACACGAAGGCTTGAAAAAAGAAAAGAAAGTTTCAAAAACTAAAAAAATCAAAACATTTGTTCTCGAAATTCAATTGTTTGATCAAAAGAATCTGGATCCGTTATAGAGAAAACACAAACAAAGGCTTCTCCACTTCTATAGTAATTGTCTCTAAAATTTGAAAAAATAAATAAAAATTAAAGCGGATCGTAAAAAAGTCAGAAATTTTTGGTTTGGATATGGAATAGGATATCCGTTGATTTCTCAGGATTTGCTAATAATAGTTATGGTTCCAGGATTTGGAAATTGTTTGAAACCGTAGAAATGTTTCAACCTGAACCCTTCAATCCATGGATATAAATGGCTTAACTCGCAAAGGTTTTTACTTGTAGTTGAGGAAAAATTCAGAGTAGCCCCGTAAATTTAAATGTAAATAATAAGGAAATCCAAGCCTTACTAGGGAAGGTTGCGAGGTGTCCGAGCTAAAAACGGTCGAGACCAGGCTCATTCGATGAGAATGTGCCCTTTCTAGCAAGGATTTTGAGCCATTTTTGCCCGTTTTTTGATTTGGCCAAGATATGGCCTTCCAAAGTTCATTTTCACCAAGGAAAATAAGATTGGAAAGAGAAGGCCATGTAAACTAACAAGATACCAGAACCCATACAAGAATCCCGAGCCCATTAAACAATTAACGAGATTTCCTTGTTTCTGTCACGACACATTCTATAAACATCCCTTTGCCTCTTATATAAGAAAAAAATTCAAAAGGGAATAAAAATCCCTTCAAATTTAACAACCTTATAGCAGAGTAATCCTCTTGTCCAGCAGTATCCATAACATCACAAGAACATTCTTCTCCATCCAAAACAACCCTTTTTCTATAGGAATCGGCTTTAGTAGGTTCATATTCTTCCACAAACTTTTTTAGAAAATTAAAAAATTTTTAAAGCTTATCAAAAAAACCTCATCATAAAGAAATTGCAAAGTTAAAGCAGATTTCCCAACTCCCCCACTTCCAACCATTATAAGTTTGTGAACAGAAACAGGGTTTGAGCCTTGTCCAGCAGTACTCATTGTTGTTAATGTAGAAATGTTTAATTTTGGATCTAAAAATTAAAAAAAAATTTTAGAGAATAAAAGACATTTGGTCCCAATTTTAAAAAACCCCCCTAAAAAATCAATGCTGATTTTGGGTATATTTTCGGTAAAATTCAAGTTCGTTCCCCCTCCTTTTCCGTCCTCATAGTAGTAAAAATGGTCACTCAGTCTTAGGTTATAGAACTCAACGAGCTGACTGACCATTTTTTAATACTTTGAGGAATGAAAAAGGAGGGGGGACGAACTTGAATTTTAACATATTTTCTTTTTAAAAATCAACTTAATTATTTAAATAAAGGAAAGGAAAATTGAAAAGTTTACTTTAAAAACATCAAAAAAAAATAGAAAAAAATTTTGATTTAAGGGCGAATAGAAAAATGAAATATTGGCCAAATAAAATTAAAATATGGTAATCCTTTCAAAATGTCTAATATCTCAAAAAACCCAAAAGGACAAAAATTTTCAGAACGCCCAACCGTAGAAAGTTTCTCAAAATGTCAGGAATTTTGATAATAATAAACTCTCAATGTCAAATGCATATTTTATAGGACGAACTTCGTTTAAGTAGGGTTGGGGTTTTCGAGTCGGGCCGACATTCGAGTCATCTTTTCGGACTTCATTTTTATCGGGCCTGCCCGACCGAGTCTTTTTCTGACTAAAATGCGATGCCCGACCCGATCTTTCGGACCGGGCCGGATCGGGCCCTCAACCCTAGTTATAAGGTACCCTCAGATTTTAATACCTAACATTATAAGATACAACATTTACATCCCGAAGTGTAAATTTTATAGTAAGGTGTTAACCAGAGCCCGAATTTCTTTACCGTATTACCATACGGAATACTGATACCTTCGGTAATATGATACGGTTCGGGCTTTAGCTTGGGCTGTATTTTTAATTCTTTTTCAAAAAAAACAATTAATTGAATTACCCGGTCCAAAAGGATTTTTATTCCTCATTCCCTTCTCTAAATCATTCCCTTCTCCTTCTTGTTCTTCCCTTTCCAAACAAATACCACAACAACAAAAAGCGTGGAATATCCATTTAAAGAATATCCATAATGCTCTAATTCTTATTTGTAACCAATTTTGTATTTTAAATATTTTTTCTCTAAAATCTTCCAAAATATCTTCTCTTCTCATTTTTGATCATTTAAAAGAGGAGAAAACTAATTTTTGATGTAAATTTGTTGAAGTCAGAGAAAAGAAAATAGTGTGTAAATGTTAAGAGAGAAATTAGAAATTAGAGAAAAATATGTAAAAATTGTGTTGTTTTTAGGGTTGAAAAAAGTTTTTATAGGAATATGTAATCAGATTAAATAAAAATATTTGTTGTGTTATGTATTAACTCTTTTTTCTCTCTTTTTTTCTGGACAATTTTTGGAAAGCTGACAAAAAAAATTTTTTTAATGTTTAAAATTTAATAAAAATACATACAAGCAAAAGGAAAAAATGCAAAATTTAAAATAAAGATTTGAAGAATAAAGATGGATCAAAAAGTATTGAAATAAATATGTACATAGAATTAAACAGAAAATTTGGAACATTCAAAGTTTAAATTAGGGTAGCATACCAAGCCTTCGGGGGTAGGAGTGTCGGATTTCTGGGTTTGTCGGAATAGAGCCTTCGGGGCTCGGGTCGGGGTTTTTGCCTAAAAATTCGTCGGGTCGGGGTTTCGGGGGACGGGGTGCTACCCTAGTTTAAATCATATATTAACTGAAATTTTAATTTTTACCATGACTTTGAATTTTAGAGAATTGATAAAATTGTTGTTTCGGAATCGATCCGATCCGAAACTAAAAAACCAAGGATTTTTAGGGTTGGTTTCAGTATCCGAAGATTTTCATTAAATCGACGACAATAGGGATCTATTTTGTTTATAATATTCAATAAAGGGGGTTCCTTTAAAAAATATAATTATTTTCTTAAAATAAAAATGCGAGAATTTTAATAAACAAAAAATAGAAGAGTACACAATAATTAATATATTGCGAATTAAATTTAAAAAAAAAAATAATTTTTGCGCTGAACACAATAAAAATAATGCGGGATTCTCCTATTTTTTATTTATTAAAAAAAGTCGCGCAATAAAAAAGAGAGAAAATAATAAATATGCAAAGAATGAAGGAATGTTTTGATTGAAAAATAATTCAATTTTTGTGAAAAAGAAAAAAATAGGAGGGAGGGAAGGAAAGATTGATGAAAATTTTATGTTTGTGGGGATG